CACAGTCACCAGTGCAGTACAGGGTCATGATATAACTGGTGTGGCGATGATCAGGGACACTGACTGGTGACAGTATGTAAAAAAAAAAGTATTAATAATTTTTTTTCATTTTTTTTTATTACATTTTTTTCTTTTTTTATGATTTTTTTTAACATACTGTTACCAGAGTAGCACTGTACTACCCTGGGTGGGAATTTTTTTCACTGTTATAAGCCACCATTTGATCTGAATGAAATCCTTTCATTCAGTGTGTACTATTGTGATTAGCTGTGATTGGCCACAGCTAATCACATGGTACAGATGAGTTGTGGTTGACCCTGTCTGTATGTGATCACTGTGGCCAATCACAGAGATTAACATAATAGTACACAATGAATGGCATGTATGGAAGCCATCCATTGTGTACAGTTGTCATTAGATCTGCTGTGATTGGTCACTGTGATCACATCGTACCAGCAGTGGCCCGGTACGGTGATCTGTCATCCGTTGGGTGACAGATTGCGCTGCAGCACAGCCCGTGGGGCCTGTGCAAGGTGCGATCCTGGGAGGAGGTCATACAATAGGATGGACGGGAAGAAGTTAAAATGTACGCATAGATACATAATGAAGTATTTAAACCCAAGAACAAAATGTAATATATTGCAGTTTACCAGGTCTACGATGCAGTGGCTGCATTCATTGTTTTCCCTTTATTTTCCCCTAGTAATCCTGCCTGTCATAGAGGATGATACCAATGTTTGAGATTTCAGCTGAGTGCACAGGAAGTAATAAGGATAGAAGGTATTAGGCAGGATCAGACGATATATATACAGAAATGGTTAGCCAACACATCTATAAGCTGTTCAGCTGTATATCACAGTGGCTTAGTGATTAGCACTTTTGACTTGCAGCACTGAGATCCTCAGTTCAAATCCAGATCAGGGATTTGAACAGCAGCTGCATCGAGTCTGCATGTTCTCCCCTTTGCTTGCATGGGTTTCCTTCAGGTGCGCCAGTCTCATCCCACACTCTAAAGATATGCCAGTATATGGCAATTTTTTCAAACAGTATTTACATTGTTCCAGCTTGTACCTATGTAACTATGCATATACCATACCTGTGGGATCTCCATGAAAGTTGGAGGTCACTGTAGTAGAAACTGCTAATACATTGATCTCCACTAGCTTTTGGGTCTAATGGTGACTGGTTGCCTACTCAGAGGTGAAGAGGTGACAATGTCATTTTCTCCACCCTGTACAATAAGAGGCTTTGCATAGTTACATAGTTAGTCTGGCTGAAAAAAGACAAAAGTCCATCCAGTTCAACCACTATAAAAAAAAAAAATTATAATCCTACACCCACAGTTGATCCAGAGAAAGGCAAAAAAAAATAGCAAAGCATGATCCAGTTTGCTCCTGCAGGGAAAAAAATTCCTTCCTGATCCCCCAAGAGGCAATTGGATATTCCCTGGATCAACTTTGCCTATAAATGTTAGTATTCAGTTATATTCTGTGTATCTACAGTTGCAAGAAAAAGTATGTGAACCCCTTGGGATTAAGTGGAGTTTTGCATGAATTGGGCATAAAATGTGCTCTGAACGTCATCTAAGTCACAACAATAGAAGAACACAGTCTGCTGAACATAATACTACACAAACATTAGATGTTGCCATGGTTTAATTGCACATAACATGTAAACATTCACAGTGCAGGGAGGAAAAAGTATGTGAGGCCCTAGCTTAATGACTTCTCCCAGAGCTAATTGGAGCCAGGAGTGAGCCAACCTTGACTCCAATCAGTGTGATGATATTGGATGTGTTGCTGACAGCTGTCCTGCCCTTAAAAAACACACACCTGTTTTGGGTTTACTGGTTTCAAGAAGCACTGTCTGATTTGAACCATGCCTCGCAGAAAAGAGCTTTCAGAAGACCTACGATCAAGAATTGTTGACTTGCATGAAGCTGGAAAGGGTTAAAAAAGTATCTCCAAAAGCCTTGATGTTCATGTGTCCACAGTAAGACAGACTGTCTACAAATGGAGAAAGTTTAGCACTGTTGCTACTCTCCCTAGGCGCGGTCGTCCTGTAAAAATGACTGCAAGAGCACAGCGCAGAATGCTGCATGAGGTAAAGAAGAATCCCAGAGTGTCAGCTAAAGACCTACAGAAATCTTTGGCACATGCTAACATTTTTGTTGACACATCTACAATAAGGAAAACATTAAACAAGAATGGAGTACATGGGAGGACACCACGGAGGAAGCCATTGCTGTCCAAAAAGAATATTGCAGCACGTTTGAAGTTTGCAAAAGAGCACCTGGATGTTCCACAGCACTACTGGCAAAATATACTGTGGACAGATGAAACCAAGATTGAGTTGTTTGGGAAGAACACACAATATTATGTGTGGAGAAAAAAAGGCACAGCACACCAACATCAAAACCTCATCCCCACTGTAAAACATGGCGGAGGGAGCATCATGGTTTGGGGCTGCTTTGCTGCCTCAGGGTCTGGACGGATTGTTGTCATTGATGGGAAAATGAATTCCAGAGTTTATCAAGACATTTTGCAGGAAAACGTACGACCATCTGTCTGCCAACTGAAGCTCCGCAGAGGATGGGTGATGCAACAGGACAATGACCCAAAGCATACAAGTAATTCAACAAAACAATGGCTGCAACAGCACAGAATACGCCTTCTGGAGTGGCCCAGTCAGAGTCCTGACCTCAACCCGATTGAAATGCTGTGGCATGACCTTAAGAGAGCGATTCACACCAGACATCCCAAGAATATTGCTACACTGAAACAGTTTTGTGAAGAGGAGTGGTCCAAAATTACTCCAGATCGTTCTGCAGGTCTGATCTGCAACTACAGGAAACGTTTGGTTGAGGTTATTGCTGCCAAAGGAGGGTCAACCAGTTATCAAGTCCAAAGGTTCACATACTTTTTCCTCCCTGCACTGTGAATGTTTACATGTTATGTGCAAATAAACCATGGCAACATCTAATGTTTGTGTAGTATTATGTTCAGCAGACTGTGTTCTTCTATTGTTGTGACTTAGATGACGTTCAGAGCACATTTTATGCCCAATTCATGCAAAACTCCACGTAATCCCAAGGGGTTCACATGCTTTTTCGTGCAACTGTAAGAAAGAATCCAGGCCTTTTTTAAAGCAATCCACTGAGCTGGCCAGAATCAACTCTTGAAAATTTCATTAGTTGAGAAAATGCATAGTGAATGGCTCCTGTGCAGATTGAGTGACCTCCTGTGTTCAATAAGCAGCAAGGAAATTGCTTGGCACTGGACCCAGATGCTAGGTGAGCTCTCCATAGTAGCGGTACCTGCTACAGTGATTTTCAGCTTCCATGGGGATCCCATAGTTAAGGTATATACTGCACAAGGTGGACCAATGTAACTATGTAAAAATAACCATACCTAAGCATCACCTATAGCTGGCTCCTGCCTAAATTGCCCTCAGTAGACATGTGAGATTTGTTTTGTTACAAATCGAAATTTGGATGAAATTTTGGTTATTCAGGGATTTGGATGGATCCAAATTTCCAAATCACAATTGTAACAAATTTCAGTGAATCCAAAATAAATTATAACGAAACAATAAATAATTTTTATTCATTTGTTTCATTTGCATGACATGATGTGATAGTTTGGGCTTTTTGGTAATGTTTGAAGCATCCGAAATAATGACATAACATATCAAATGATCCGATTTGTTTTGGATCTATTTGTTTTTATTCTAGTGAGTGTAGTGTGAATATTCTAATAACCAGACAATTCTTTTTGCATTAACATTTTTCATTATTATAAAAGATGCACTACATACTGTATGACATATTGTAATAAATACGGTAAGATATAAAAGTGAAATAAGATAATTTTTACTTATTGTGTTTGGGTTGGATGGAGGTGGATCCATCAGAATCTCCAAATCATAACATAACATGGGCAGCACAGTGGCTAAATGGTTAGCACTTTTACCTGGCATTACTAGGGTCATTGGTTCGTATCCCAACCGTGGCATCACCTGCCTGGAGTTTGCATGTTCTCCCTGTGCCTGCGTGGGTTTCCTCCGGGTACTCTGGTTTCCTCCCACACTCCAAAGACATGCTGGTAGGTTAATTGGATCCTGTCTAAATTGGCCCTAGTATATGGATGTAAGTTAGGGACCTTAGACTGTACACCCCCTTGAGGGATAGGGGCTGATGTGAATGTACAATACATGTGTAAAGCACTGCGTAAGTTGACAGCGCTATATAGGTCCCTGTAATAAAGTAAATGAAATAACAAATTAATCCTAAATTAATTTTGTTACGTTCGGATGCCCGTGACTCCATTTGATATCAACCAATCGGCTCATTCCATTGCTCTGTGTGAGTTGGACTAGCAGAGATGACTCGGATTGCTAAAGTAATCTCCTGAAATAACAAATTAAAAAGGTTAAAATGAATATGACCAATCTTACGAAATAACTTCCGAAAATAAGAATCAATTCAGAGCAACGAATATATGAAACAAATTCCGAAAATGAATCATGAAACCAAAAAGTTTAAAGTGGTTGTGAAGGCTGAAGGTTTTTTACCTTCATGCATTCTATGCATGATGGTAAAAACCTTCTGTGTGCAGCAGCTCTCCCAATACTTACCTGAGCCTCATCGTGATCCAGCGATGATAGCCTCAGCTGCACTGGGTCTCTGCCTCCTCATTGGCTGAGACAGAAAGCAGGAGCCATTAGTTCTCACTGCTGTCAATCATAGCCAATCAACCAATGAGGAGAGAGAGGGGGCGGGCCAAAATACGGCTCCATATGTAAATGGGCACACGGAGCAGCGGGTGCCCCCATAACAAGCTGCTTGCTGTGGGGGCACCTGACAGACAGGAGGAGCCAGGAGAGCCTGCGGGGGACCTGAGGAGAGGATGATCCAGGCTGCTCTGTGCAAAACCACTGCACACAGCAGGTAAGTATAGACATGTTTGTTATTTTACAAAAAAAAAAAAAGGAAATTAACCTTTAGAATTGCTTTAACCTCCCTAGCGGTATTCCAGAGTGTAGCTCGGGGTAGAGTTTCAGTACCAAAAGCGGTAACCCCGAGCTACACTCGGGCTTACCATGCAGCGTTGCATAGGGAGTCCCTGCAGCGCTTACCTTGTCCTTCGCTCCCGCAATGTGTCCCCTGCCACGTCCCCGGCCGATGCCGGCATCCGGCTTCCGTGTTTCGGTCCCTGTGACGTCGGGATGTACGGGCACCGGAACCAGGGGCAAATTTGAAATTTTTTTAAAATGTCATTTTTTAAAAAATGATTATTACATAGTAAAACATTGCTGTTTCAAAGCATTTCACATACATTCTGTCCCTAGTGCTTTGTCCTGTGCCCTGCCTGCATTTTTACTGTTCTTTCTGCCTGGAAACTTAGAAAAGTCCATGGCGTCCCTTTATGTCAAAAACGGTATTAGATCAGCTAGAGAACAGTGATAGTAAATCAGAACCACTTGCAGAATTGAGTGATAATGATTTGCGATTTTGGAAATTTGGAAATTCGTCATCAGACACTGAAAACGATTCTGCGACTTTGCGCAGTGATGTGCGAACTTGGCGCTATATTTCAAATTTCAGTGTTTTTGGTTTGATTATATTATTGAATTAAATTTGTTATTATTATATTATTATTTTTTTTATGATTATTTATTAAATTATAATTTATGATTTTGCGTTTCAAGTTTTATCATATCCGGAATGTTTACTAGACTCTTGTTCGGACAGATTTCAGTGAGTTGTTCCTAAATTACAGGCCTACAATAAAAACAAATACATATTTCCATGCAAAAAAATGGTACCGCTTTTCAGCACCAAAAATCTGAAATAATCAGACCGCCAGGGAGGTTAACCTAACAAACAAAATATTTTTGTCACGCACATCTCTAACCCTCAGTATGTATGCATGTAACATAGAGAACTTAGATTGTAAGCTCTTTGTGGGCAAGGACTGATGTGAATGTACAGCATGTAAAGTGGTGTGTAAAAATTGTTGTTGCAATATACAGCAGCAAGAAAGAGAATATGAACTCCTTGGAATTAAAGTGGTTGTAAAGGCAGAAGTTTTTTTTACCTTAATGCACTCTCTGCATTAAAGTGGTTGTAAACCCTCACATATACCCAGTGAAGTGACAGGCTTCCAGTGATACACAGAGAGGAAACAAATCCTCCTACATAAGTTGTACCTGTCTATCTGCAGTCTTCGCTTCTCTACATACTGTAGTTCAAAGTCCAGTTTCTATAAAGCTTGTCTGAAGGTCAGAAAAAAGGGGGCGGAGAGCTGAAATTACACTCTGCAAAACCCAGAGAGGGGAGCCCTGAGAGCTGATTGGCAGGAAGAGACACACACTCCTCCACACAGCTCACAGGAACAGAGCTGAGGCATTCAATCTTCTAGAGGTCCTTCCCCTATCACCATTTTTCTCTTGGTGTCAGGAAAGTTTGATAGCAAAAACATGAAGCAGCTGACATAAGTGACACTTAGTGCTCTTAATTGAGACAAGTACACACTATAGAGCAGGGGTGGACTGACCATTTGGAAACTCGGGCACTGCCCGAGGGCCCGGGGTCAGTAGGGGGCCCCATGAGATGCCCCTGGTACCTTTTTCATAGGCTTTTTTGAGTTTGGGCAAGGACACAGGGGCCCCATGATCCCCTATTGCCCGGGGCCCCCATGAGTTGTCAGTCCACCCCTGCTATAGAGGGATACGCTTTGCTCATATTTTTATGTCTGAGGTTTACAACCACTTTGAGGTGAAAAACCTTCTGTGTGCAGTTCCTTCTCCAGCTCCCGCTTATACTTACCTGAGCCTGATCTCAATCCAGCACTGTGCCCAAAAGCAGCGTCTCTATCCCACCCTTTGCTTCCTCTTCACAGGGCAGATCGATAGCAGTGAGAGCCATTGTCTCCCGCAGCTGTTAATCAAATCTTGTGACAAGGGAGTAGGGGGTGGGACCAAGCCACACTGTCTGTGTCTATAGACATAAGCAGCACGGCTCAGAATTGAGTAGTCACAGTTGTGACACAGTGGCTTCCTATGGAAGAGCCATAGAGGAGGAGCCAGGCGCATCGGGAGGGGGTCCTAGAAGAGGACAGTTGGGGCTGCTACATGCAAAAACATTGCACAGAGCAGGTAAGTATGACATGTTTAATATAAGCAAAAATGCCATTTACAATCACTTTAACTGTTTTTCTGCAGTAATTTTGCCATAAAATGTGATCTGATCTTCATGTAAGTCACAACAATAGAAAACACAATGTGGTTAAGCTAATAACACACAAACAAATCTAATTTCCCGTGTTTTTATTGAACACACTCATTAAACATTCACAGTGCTGGAGGAAAAAGTAAGGGAACCTTGGGAGTTAATAGCTGGTAGAACTTCCTTTGGCAGCAATGACTTCAAGCAAGCGTTTTTGGTAGCCCTGGATCAGACCCAGGGGCGGACTGACCATTTGGAATCTCGGGCACTGCCAGAGGGCCCGAGGTCAGTAGGGGGCCCCATGTGATGCCCCTGGTACCTTTTTCATAGGCTTTTTTGAGTTTGGGCAAGGACACAGGGGCCCCATGATCCCCTATTGCCCGGGGGCCCCATGAGTTGTCAGTCCGCCCCTGATCAGACCTGTACAATGTACATACAAAATTTATTTACCATTCCTCTTTACAAAACTGCTTCAGCTCAGACACATTTGTCTGGTGTAAATGGATCTCTTGAGGTCATTCCACAGCATCTCTATGAGGCTAAGGCCTGAACTCAGGACTCAATACATTTTCTTTTCTGGACTTCAGTCTGTGGTGGATTTGCTTCACTGATTAGAGTCATTGTCCTGTTGTATCACCCAACTTCTACTAAGCGTCAGCTGGTGGATAGCCCTCCTGCCATTATCCTGTCGGATATTTTGTTAAACTTGAGAATTAATTCATTCATTTGTAAATACCTGTAATAAATAATCTTTAATATATTACATTTTTTGTTCTTGGATTTAAAGATACCTGTTCAATCCATGATTGTGGAGATCTGCTTGTTAAGCTGGGCCTAATCTTCCGATAAAGTGTATTCACTGCCCCATAAATGGACAAATATTTCATCCAGCCCCCTCTTTTATGGTAAGAGGCTTTCAAAACATTCTACTGCTTATTACTCTTTATGTGGGCTATTAGCTTCCAATTCAAGAATATGTAGACCCAACATTTCATATTCCTGATATGTGCCTGCTGTACCATGTACTTGTATGAAGAGTATCCTGTTCTCTTTGTATTGCTTGCTTTGTGTGAAATTCCCAGTCTTCCTGTCAGTCCCTCTGCTTTCCTATTAAAAACTAAATGTAAAAAAAAAAAAAAAAGGTTAAAATAAAATAACAAAAATAAAAAAACAACTGACACCAGTGGCGGAACTATCAGGGTCACCGGACCCTGGCGTTCTGCCACCGGGCTCGGAGGGCAGAGCACCATCCGGGGGTCAGGGGGGCTCTTCATGGTTTCTTGCATCAGGGCCCTGAAGGTTCTAGTTATACCACTGGGTGACATCAAAACATGGAGTTGTCACCCTCCTCTATCACTGACCCCAGGGAGTGTTCTGAGTCTGCACATCAAAAATACCTAAAAAATACTTACCTTTGTTCCTGTAGCGCCACCCTCCTAAGGACCTTTTGTATTTTACCCAGGTCTCCCTCTTTCTTCACCCTGCAGACAGATATACACACACCAGCTTGTTGCCTTCAATGACCAGTCTAGGGAATGTATGTTTTTGGAGTTTTATTGTAGAACTGGGGATAGGGATGGGGCATTCAGTAGGATACTCCAAAATTAGAACTATTCACAAGGAGGCAATCTAGCTGATCTCTTAGTTGATCAATGATGAAGTCTTGACTGAAGTAGATTGTGGACCTCCCTTCAATTAGCAGCAAATAGTTTAGGAGTGAGCAAAGTCCCTTTTTGCAGTAGTAGTAGTTACAGGGATGGGTTCCTCAGGTACAAGCCAGTTACAACAGACTGCAACAGCCCAAATGTAAAATAGCTGAGCAGAGTCCTTTGTAGTAGCAACAATTGGACAAGATCTTCAGAACACTAGCCAATGTTCCCTTTCCTTTCCAGACCCATGCTGATTATCAAGCACCAGGGGAGGTAACAAGCACACAGAGTCCCCAAATTCCTCAATGTCTGTACTCACAAGGCCCAAGGACAGAATGATTGACTCCTCCCATCTTGCAAGCGAAACCCTCCAGTGATACCAGACAGAGATTTGGCAGACAGCTCCCCTCAGTCAGCATACTGTAGAACCAGGGTCACTCTCTCTAACTTCAGGCCCTCAGGTCAACCCACCTGAGGCCGCATGGCAACCAGTGCCAGGCGAAGCAGGTCTACCTCCAACCTGGCTTGGTTCAATCCTCTCCCGGGAAAGACACTGAACCCATGTGCTCACAGAACATAAATATCACTCCCAGCATGCAAAGGGACTGCCCTTTCTTGTAACTGGCCAGGGCTGTTCACATATTCATGCTGTTCATCTACCTAGCTCCCTCCCAGGTTCTGTAAGGCTCTCAGAACTCAAGGCAAAATCTGCAGCACCAAAGCATAATGAGCAGACCTAACTAATCCATCACAGCACTCTGTTAAGCGAGAGCCAAACTAGATTTCCCTAACAGTCTCTCTGTTAAGCAGAGAAAACCCAGCTATGCTTAACCTAACTATACAAATGCTAGCACCTACCTAGGAGGGTGCTACATTCTACCGGTCCAACGCCTATGAGATCCCTTTCTAGCATGTTCACCTGGCTTCTTCCAGGTGCCAGTCTATGGCTGTCTTGATCGACTGTCACGGGATAACGTCATTCTTGTGCGTGTGCAGAAGTCATTTAATCCCGGCATAGTCCCAGTGTGCATGCGCAGCTCAGTTTACATTCTGCATTAGATTGCAAATTGGCAGGCACGTTTATTTTATTGCAGAAGAAACACTGCATGTCTGCTCTGCAACAAAAAGACCGCCTGTTTGCAATATTTTTACAGCTTTAGTTGTGGTTTAATAATATTTTTAAAAACCTGCCATTGACAGCAGGTTCTGATGTGGTAGTTGTGTCTCTCATGTAAACCTTTCACCCAATCACATGTGAC